AAGGCCCACACCTTGCACTTGGTTGATGTGTCTCCTAAATCTCTCTTCATCAATAATAATTTCCAGGATGGATGTTTTCCCTCTCTACTCTTTTATACCTTTATTTTTCAATCATATAAATGAATGATCTACATAAAAGTTAAATTTAGAGGAAAATACAAATCTAATGCTTCAGGGAGAGTTAGCATCCCAAAGGGCCCCAAGGAGTGTTGGGTGAGGGAAAACACCCCAAGCAGTGAGGACTCGGACAGTGGTGATGGTGGGAGGCCCCACCAAGCCCCAAGTGGTGGACAGAGTGAGGGAACCTAGGGGCTGACATTCTGGTGGTTTCCTGGCCTGTACAGAAAAGGTGGGTGGAAGAGTGGTGGGGACGCTAGCAACAATCTAGCCTGGAGCAGCCTGAGGAAAGTCCCCAAAGCCAAGGATGGTGCAATCATTCTAAACATGTAGGGTGGTAAGAAACCCTACACGTTTCTTACCCACCAAACTGAGCCAAGTGTTACACCAAAGCACACCTGGACTGGACAAGAGGGGAGAGCAGGGACAGGTAAAGCATGAAGGACAGAGGGAGCTGATGACACTGGAAGTCAGGAGACCTGAATTCTAGTTCTAGCTCTGCCCCCAGCCGCCTGCACTGTCCCATGAAAGTCAGCTGTGACACATTCCCTTAAGTAACCATGGCTGGGAGAGAGGAGAATAATAACAGTATTAGTATTTGCTTGGATTCACATAAAGAAGGATATATAAAAACCAAATGAAGGCCCAATGAGATCCTGAGTGTGAAAGGGGGAGTGGCAATTCTCCCCACTTAATATTGCTGACAACCAGATCCCCAAACCCCACTCCTACCAAGTTCCCTACATTATCCCTGACCTAAAAGAGGGGTTGCTGCAGGATGAATAGCAGTTTGCTGGGAACAGGAAAGTTACTGTAGACAAAGAGAATGATAGGGTCAAAGGCGGAGAGACAGGAACAAGCCTGGTGAATTGAGAGAATTAAAAGGAATGCAAAGTACTAAATCAATCAATGTGGGATCTCAGTTTGGATTCTGGAACCAGAAAATGACATTAGTGGAAAAACTGGTGAAATCTGACTAAAATCCTCAGTTTAGTTAATAGTACTGTACCAATGTTAACTTCTTAGTTTTGACTAATAAACCATAGTCGTGTAAAATGTTAACATGAAGGGGAAGCTATAGTATCTTCGCAAGTTTTCTGTAAACCTAAAATTATTCCAAAATAAAAGTTATTAAAAAGAGAGAGGAGGAATAAACGAAAAATAGTGCAAAATGGCTAGAGCATGTAAGGCGTCAGAAGGGGGAAACAGGTGACAGATATCAAGATGCAGGTAACATCTTCACTGGCCAAACTACCAGAAACCTCTTGTGTCACACAATGGGGTCCAGACTTCATCTATCTACAGGCAATATTCTCCCTCTCTCCGAACCCTTCCCATGGGTCCCAAATGGACTTCAGTGACAGCTTCCCACCTTCAT